ATAAAGGCTTTCCATCTAAGATTGGAAACATCACTCATACTCCATGTACTGCTGGAGGCTCTTGATTGTACAATAAGACATGAAAAGTAAATAAAGGCATACAGATTGGAAAGGAAGAAGTAAACTATATCTATTTGCAGATAACATGGTTGTCTATACAGAAAAATCTATGAAACCTACATGTAAAAAAATGTCTAGCCCAGTCGGTATGGCTCAGTGGTTGAGCATCAACCTATGAACCAGGTGGTCACAGTTTGATTCCTGGTCAGGGCACATGCCTGGGTTGTGGACTCAGTCCCCAGTGTGGGGTGTGCAGGAGGCAGCTGATCAATGATTCTCTCTCATCACTGATATTTCTATCTCTCTCTCCATCTCCCTTCCTTTCTGAAATCAATAAAAATATATTTTTTAAAAATGCCTAGACCTAATAAATGAATTCAATACTGTCTCAGGATACAAGATTAAACTATGAAAATCTATTATACTCTATAAGCTAGTAATGAACAGTTGGACAAAGCTAAACATACAGTACCATTTACACTGAAACAAGTGAAATACATGGTAATAAATCTAACAAAACGCCTTCAGGATTTGGAGGCTGAAAGCTACAAAATGCCAATGAAAGACGATCTAAATAAATGGAGAGCTATACCATGTTTATGACAAAGATGTCAATTCCCCACAAGTCCGTATACAGGCTTAATGCAATTCCTATTAAAATGTCAGTGTAATTTCTTATAGATACAGACAAGATTATGATAAAATTTATTAAGAATGTCAAAATTTCCTACCTGGTTTGGCTCACTGGATAGAGCCTCCGCCTGCAACTAAAGGGTCCCAGGTTCAGTTCCAGTCAAGGGCACGTACCTCAGTTGCAGGCTCGATCTCCAGCCCCAGTCAGAATGTATGTGGGAGGCAACCAATCGATGTGTCTCTCTCACATCAATGTTTCTATCTCCGTGTCTTTCCCCCTCCCTTCCACTCCCTCCAAAAATCAATGGAAAAATATTCTCAGGAGAGGATTAACAGCAACAACAAAAGAATGGCAAAGGAAACTAAAATAGCTAAAACAATTTTGACGAAGGAGAAAAAGTGGGAGAAATCAGCGTACCCAATTTGAAGATTTATTGAATAGCTACAGTAATCAGACTGTGGTGTGGGTGGGGAGATAGACACCCAGATACATCAATGGAACAGAATGAAGGATCCAGAAATAGACCCGCACAAATATGCCCAACTGGTTTTTGACAAAGATGCAAATTCATTCAGTGGAGGTGAGAATAGCCTTTCTCAAACGGTACTGGAGCTATTAGACATTCATTGGCAAAAAAAATTAAAAAATCATTCTTGGTCTACACTTCATATCCTGTATAAAATTTAACTCAAGATGCGTCATCGACCTAAATTTAAAATGTAAACCTATAAAATTCTTAGAAAAAGAGGAGGAAAATCTTTGGGATCTCGGCCCAGACAGAGCATTCTTAGACTTGACCTCAAAAGCATTGAAAAAAATTGATAATTGGATTTCATCAAAATTAAACACGTTTGCTCCGTGAAGGACGTTGGTAAGGGGTTGAAGACACAAGCTACAAGCGGAAAGAAAAGATTTGTAAACCACACATCTGACGAAGGACGGGCCTGCAGGCTGTGTAAAAACGCCCAGAACGCAACAGTAAACAGCAACGATGACAAAGGGCTCGGCAAATACGGGCAGACGTTCTGCCGGAGACGAGTCTCAGGTGGCAGGTGAGCAAATGAACAGACGCCCAGCACCATTAGCCGTGAGGGCCAAGCAGTGAGAACCGCGGGGAGATGCCACCGCACGCCCCCCAGAGCAGCTCAGACTCAAGCCAGGACAGGCCTGGCTGGGTGGCTCAGTTGGCTGAGCATCGCCCCGTGCATGGAAAAGCCACCCTTCTCTCTCAAAAATAAAAAATAAAAAAGAACATATTGGAAAATAGATAAATAAATAAAAATAAATAAATTTTAAAAAGGATGACTCCACCCAGTGCTGGTCCGGATGTGGAGACACTTGTGCATATAAAGGAACATGAAGACCATTAAACACACAGCTGGGCTGACTCTCCAGGGGATTATTCTGAGTGGAAAAGCCGATCTCAGACATACACACTGTGTGTGCCTATTCCATAATATTCTTGAAATGATCCAATTATAGAAAGGAACAACTGATGAGGGGTCACCAGAGGTTGGGAGGAAAGTGGGTGTGGCTATGCAGTGCACTGGCCGGACCACTGTGGCGGAAACAGTGGCCTCTGGCTGTCCCTCTGCCGGGACCCTGGTGCACCCTGCACGGGATTTGCAAAATGTCACCGCTGGGGAAACCGGGGAAAGGGCACATGGATCTCTCTGCATCATTTCTTACAGCAGCATGTGAACCTATAATTATCTTGAAGTTAAAAGTGTAATTTAAAAACCTAGAATAATAAATAAGAGGGGAAAAGCCACAAGAGAATGGCAGGGTGGGGGAGGGCTGTGAGGAAATGCAGGGCATGGTCTCCTCCTTGCTGGGCGTCAGCGTGGGGAGCTGGACCCCGTCGTACGTAAGCTCCCTGGTCCTAGGGACCAGACATTCACCTTCAAACGAACTTATGCAAAAAGGGGGATTTATAGGAAGTTATTGCAGAAGAACTCTGGTTGCCATGGACAGAAACCGAATTTCTTAAGGAAAAAAAAAAAACAAAACAGGAATTTGGGGTCCCACCCTGGAAAGCCCAGGGACACTGCTTAGCACAGGGGCCTGTCCCTCCTCCTTTCCTCAGGGTCAGCCGCCTTCTCAGGCTGCTGGGTGCCGACAGTCCCCAGGAGCTCCTCCTGCTCAAGTCCCCGCGGGGGGAAGCTGAGCCCGTTCCCTGGTACCTCAGCAGCAGTGCTGGGGGTCCAGGGCTGACAGTAGTGCAGTGAGTGCCTGGGGTGGTGGTGGCAGGGCTGGGTGGAGGGGCCAATGGGGGAGAGAGGGGGCATCTGTAATATTTTCAACAATAAAGATAGTTATTTTTAAGACCTATGGGTGAGTCTCAGCCTGACTTTGGTGTCACATGCCCATCCTGAGCCAATTACTGTGGCCGAAGGGAAGCGACACTCTCATTGGTCAGGCCTGGGTCATGTGCTCACTCCTAAAGGCTGGGGGTGAGGCCAGCCCCTCACAAACTGCATGGCCGGAGAGGAGGGGAGGAGTGGTCTCTTAACAAAGAGGATGCGGGTCAGGCTAAACCAACATACGTATACCCGTGGGACCCCAGGAAAAAGCCTGCTTCTTCGTTCTCCATCCTTGGGTTCTTTTTTTTTTTTTTTTTAATATATTCTTATTGACTTCAGAGAGGAAGAGAGGAGAGATAGAAACATCAATGATGAAAGAGGATCATTGATTGGCTGCCTCCTGCATGGCCTGCACTGGGGACCAAGCCCGAAACCCGGCATGTACCCTGACCAGAGTCAAACCATGACCTCCTGGTTCATAGGTCAACGCTCAACCACTGAGCCACACGGGCCGGGCCAGCCTCAGGTTCTGAATTTCCAGCCCTCTGGTTCAGACATCCCAGATTGGACTAGAATTTTGAGGAAGGATTATCTGATTAAATAGCTTTGGTCCAGCCCTTATCCAATCATCTGTGACCGGGGGTGGAGCCACCTGGTGGACCCTTGGTGGACGGGGCAGTTCTTAGAGGGGCCAGGCTGGCGCCCCACAGCTGTCAGTTACAGGTCATCAGAGCTCCTGGAAGATCTACACTAGCTCCTTTTCATGAAAGGACAGGGGAACACTCCAGTGGGTTTGGCAGAAAGGGACAGATGATGGTGTGGATCCGGGGAGAAAGGCCGATTCCTCGCATTGCTCCATGCTTTCCTCCGGGCGCTCTGGGCTGACAGAGAAGAGCAGTGGGCGTGGGAGGCGGGCCGCACTCACGCTGAGGAATGAGTGGGTGGTGGGGGGCCCTGTGGGCTGGCAGCAGGAGAGGCTGGAGGCTCAGGGACAGTGCAGGGTTGGCAGCAACAAGAAGAGCCCGTGACTTGGAGGAAACCAGTCATCAAGGCAGAGACTGGGGACAGTGACCGGAAACCAGAGCAGGTGTGCCTACGGCAAGGCCGGAACCCCGGTTACAAATGTCACTGCGCGGTCTGGTCAGAGGACTCAGGCGGGAGGCACCTGTAGAACGGGCACTGGGTCGGAGAAGACAGCAGCTGGCCCCAGACCTCCCTCCCTTCTTCCCAGATGTGAGGGTGGGGGACAGATCCTCCAGCTCTGGCTGCTCAGCACACACCCGAGGTGGGCACAGCCGAGTCCCCCGTGTGCAGGGGGGACGCGTGGAGCGCGAGGTCATTATAATTTAATCTCGGAGGGAGAGCTGGGAGCCAGACAGAAGCGGGCAGTAAAAATGGTGCTAATCGCGATGGTGGTAATGATGGCCAGCCTTTCTGGAACACGGACTGCGTGCCAGCTCTGTTCTGAGAGGCCCCACCGGGCCATCTGCTTTCATCTTTGCAACCTCGCTGTGAGGTGCGGCTATTGTGATGCCCATTAAAACGGATGCAGGGATGATGGGGCGGAGAGGTAAGCATCTTGCCCAAGGTCACACAGGAACCAAGGTCATTCAGCTCTCGCAGGGGCCGGCTGTCAGGGCTTCTGCTCCCATCTATTCTCATCATCCACTTCGGCTAATCTCCTCGCATTCCCTTGCTCCCGCATCCCAACCCCCTCCACACACCCTTCCTCGTCGGCTCAGACCCAGCTCGATCGAGCATCGCTGCCTGAGTCTGTGGTAACCCTCCCCGTGTCGGCCCCTGGATCTTGCCTCTGAGGAATGAGCTCGGCCAGGTCTGCGTCACCAGGTGAAGATAATGCTGCTCGGGGGGGGGGGGGGGTAGGACCACGTCTTGTTCTTCTCCAGGAGGCACCTGCTTAGGTCTGGCCCCAAAGAGGCAGCGAGCAGGGGAGGGGCGCCGGCGGCTGGGGGTTCACGGCACCTCTCTCCTGTCTCCCGCAGCCTGGCGTGGGGCTCCTTCACCTGCTGCATGGCCGCCTCCGTGACCACGCTCAACTCCTACACCAAGACGGTCATCGAGTTCCGCCACAAGCGCAAGGTGTTTGAGCAGGGCTACCGGGAGGAGCCGACCTTCATAGAGCCCGAGGCCATCAAGTACTTCCGAGAGAGGTCAGTGCTCGCGGGGCACCTCTGGCCCGGGGTCTGGCCTCGTGGACACAGGGCTCCAGGCAAAGCTGGACTGAGCGGTCAGCCGGAAGTGCTGGGGGCGGGTGGATGGGCAGGTTGGGTGAGGCGCAGTGTGGACTCCACTATGTCAGAACATCTGGGACGTCTTCATGTTTATGGGCCAGGTGACTGCCTTGAGCTTAGGCCAGTGGTTGGCAAACTGTGTCTGGGCAAACCGCGGCTCGCGAGCCACATATGGCTCTTTGGCCCCTTGAGTGTAGCTCTTCCACAATATGCCCACTTCTACGCATGGGCCATGAAGTTTCAATCGCACTGTACGTGCACGCCTGCACGTGGTATTTTGTGGAAGAGCCACACTCAAGGGGCCAAAGAGCCACATGTGGCTCGCGAGCCGCAGTTTGCCGACCACAGGCTTAGGCGATCAGAGCCTGAGCGAGCGGGAAGGGGATCAAGTTGGAGCATTTGCCTTTGGCTGCAGGCTTCGCAGAACCAAGGTGGGGGCACACAGAGGCCATCCAAGGTCTCCGTCCTGGACCCGGTCACAGCACTGGGTGAGAAGAGGACCCAGCAGTGGGGTTGGTGACACCTGCTGGCAGAGGGCTCCTCGAGGCCAGAACCAAACCTGATCACCTGAGTCCTCGGTGTCCTGCTGGGAGTAGGGGAGGTGACAATAAATGGTGGGTGGATGGTTGAATGGTTGGTCGGATGGATATACGGATGCATGTATGCATGGATGATGGACGGATGGATGCAAGCGTTGATGGATGATGGATGGATGGTTGGATGGATGGATGCATGTGTGGGTGGATGATGGACGGGTGGACGGTTAGCATATTTCCTAGGACCACCTCCTAAATAAGCTATTTTATCCAAATTCTTATCGCGGAGCCAGTTTCTGGGGAGTGATGGGACATGCACGCACTAATGCCTTTCGGTTGCAGGGAAGTGAACGGTCCCCAGGACTGAGTCTGAGGAGGGAAACGGGGACGGAGGCTGAGGGGCTGGGCGGTGTTGAGGAGGTGGACTCTGCGGGGCCATGGAAGGGTTTCAATCCAAGGAGTCACGTGGTGGGGCCACACAGGGACCTCTCTGCCTCTTACAGATGCCATTGTCTCTGCCACACGGGCCCCCTTTCTGTTCCTTGAGCACGGCAAGCTCAACCCTACCTCAGGGCCTTTGCACCTGCTGTGTCCCTGCCTGGAATCCTCACCTGGCTGGCTCACTCAGGCCTCTGCGCAGTGAGGGCTTCCTTCATCAGTTGGTCCAAATTTGCACACCCCCAAACACCCTGCCTTCGTCGCTCTTAGCCCATTGCTATGTTTTGGTAGCACCGATATAATCTAACGTTATTCTATCTGTGATCTGTTCGATAGTTTGTAGGCTGAGCTCCATGAGACAGGGCTTTGCTGTTTTATCACTGTATTCTGGGCACCTAGAACTGGGCCAGGTACCGAGGAGGCGCTCATCAAATTGTGTGTGTGTGATCGACGGAATTCTTCTCTTTGTGGACCTCAGCCCTGACTGCCTCATGCCCTTGCAGCTCAAGCCCCTCCATTGTTGAGCCGATTTAGCACCCAGCCCCCCCCACCCCCCACCAAGGTGCCCGGTCAGGTGTTCAGATCCAGGCCAGTCAGCTGTGGCAGGGAGGTCAGGCTGACCGGGCACATGGGCCAGCCTCACCCACAGCTGTGGCCAAAGCGTGTCCCCTAGGAAGCGGGCCATGGGTGGCAGAGACGGGACGGGGTAGGCGCTCAGGAAACATCTTTAGAAGTCACACGAGCAGCCGATGTCTAACCCGCCCCATCAGCACGGCAGCAGCTGTCCCCTCGGCTGTGGAGCGCCTGGGACGCCCGTGGGCAGCCTTGTTTTGCTGGTGCTGAAAGCAGGACCGCCGAGTGCCAAGCAGCTCCGTGTGCTGGGGCCCCAGTTCGAATGGCCGCAGCGACGCGGGAGACGCTGCTTCCGGCGTGTGTGCGGAATATCACTTCACTCGTTCACAGCTCGAACGTTATGCAGAGGTTCCTCAGACTTCACTTCCCTCCTTCTCTGGGGGAGCATTTCAGCGTGGCTGGGCTGTTCTAGTTTTCTCTGTGTGTGTGTGTGTGTGTGTGTGTGTGTGTGTGTGTGTGTGTGTCTTCCCTGCCAAGAGCTCAGAGCACACGGGCAGACCTCTGCACAGGTTTGCAGGTGCCCAGAAGCGGGGCTGGAACCCTGCGTGGCCAGCACCCCCAAACCCGCAGCAGGGACATGGGGAAGACAGCCACGCTCCCACCTGCCCACATTTTCTCCTTGGGGGACGGGGTGCTATGGGGAGGGGGGGTGGAGGCCCCTGACCTTTGTTTCCCATTTCCCTTGCTTTCCTGCTGTGTGACTGGGGGCCGCTTCCTCTGACCACAGTGCGAGAGCTCTTGGCATCCGGGGAAGGCTCGGCCCTGCCAAGCCAGGGAGCGTGCTGGGCACAGTGCCGGGCACACGGAGAGGGTTCTGTGCGTGTCAGTTCCTGTCTCTTCTGCTACTGATGCAAAGTACAAAGCCTGGGAATGGTTACCTCAGGACGAGAGGGAGATGGCGTTTTAGATACTAGGGCTTTAATAAATGATACCCATAAGCACAGCTGACACGTACGTGGTGCTTGCCCTGTGCCAGGCACCCTCTAAATGCCTTAGACGTTCACTCCGAAACACCTCTGGGAGGTAGTGGGTATCACTGTGTCCCCATTTTATAGTTGCAAAATCCAGGCACAGAGAGGTGTAGTGACTTGCCCAGGGTCACACAGCTGGTAAGTGCCAGAGCTTGGTTTTGAACCAGGTCACAGTGAGTGGGTGCCCCTCAGGACGGATCAGTATCTCCTCCCAACACTGAGGGGAGTCCGCTGAAGCTCACAGCATGAGGGCAGGCAAGGTGCAAGGCAGCCATGAGTGCGGAGGGCCCGGGAGGATACAGGTCTGGGAGTGGGTGTGAGGTCTCCCAGCCGCCCCCCTGGTCCTGTCAGAGGAGAGGCAGGTGTGGCGCACTTCCCCAGGCCTCACCGGCGTCCTGCCCGACACTGCCGCCCCACCTGGGTCTGTTGGGGGTTCTGTGCAGGAGCGGCCTGGTGGGGTCTGAGGAGCAGCTGGGCAGATCCCAAGAGGTGTTCCGGGCCCTGGAGCACGGTGGGGTGTGGAAGACGGTGCGTGTGTGTGTGCACGTGTGTGTGCTGAGGGCCGGTGTGCACACATGGGATTGGGGTGCACTCTGTCCCCGTGACTGAGCAGCCTCGCTTACTAAAACATCTGG